GAATAGTCTGATTCATTTAATGCGAATACAAACAATTCCTAAGCCTCCATTGTGCGAGCATACATGCAGACGTTTAACTGTTAAAATGTGATCTAACATTATTCTCTAAAATTAATCAACCCACAAATATTTATTACATGAACTACGAAGCTCTGACTCTCTTATTGCACTTTAGAAATACTTAAGCATTGGGTTTTGAAACTCTCGCGAGCGCTATAATAAAAAACTAACATCTTCCCTCTTTAAATCTTTTGTAGATATCCTTTTTAATAAATAAACAGAAAATTACAAACATCCTCTTAAGAACACTTAACCCTAGTCTATTAGGAGGTTCCCGTTGAGTATAACGGATGTGACTGGTACTAATATCTTCTCCTCACATAACTGACTTTTGAGCCCTCAACTAGTTGCGATGATCATATTTTCTTCCTTTAAGGATTTTATCGACGTTTCTCTTTAAGAAAAAACTTTGGTGGCGACTATGTCTATTTCGAGAGTTTAGCACTCAGAATATTTTTTGCGCTGCAACATTAATCCTCTATATGGAAAATTTACATTAATCCTCTATATGGAAAATTTAGAGATAAGGGACTTCCGTTTGTTCATCAACTAACCACACTTTTCAAGGATGTGATGGCTAATGGAGAGTATGCTTAGGCACCTTCAAGTTGCATATTTCCTGATGTGGATTGTGTTAATGATAATGATGTGTATAATAATATTGGTTTGGATGTGAAAGAAGGATCGGATGATAGTTAAGATGCAAGTGTTGGAGAAACGTGAAAATTTGCAAATATTAATTTGAACATTTTACAAGGAGCGCTTAGCCAAAATTGAGGACAAAAGAGAAAGAGATCTAGTGATGTTGAAAAGAAAACAAAGAAAGATGGAAGACTCTATAAATATTAGAAACTATTTTATATTAACTGGTCTATTAAGATTCGCTTAAGTTATCTTATATAACTAATCTATTAGGACATGCTTAATATGCACGACTTGTTTTTTGACTTAGTGCTAAACAAAAGCAAAAACATGCATGTTTCTTTCTGCATTCATAATTTATATCCTTGAAAGTTGTGTTAGTTCATTATGTTTGTCTATGTATTTTGATTTGACTATTAGTACTTAAACTTTGCTATAATTGTTGTTTGATTTTATTTGCTTATTGTGAAATGACAAAATGGACGATCGGAATGAGCAATTGGACCACTGTAAAAAAGATGAAGAAGATGATGATATTTTTCAGCATGCTTTTTTGTGGTTGCATTAGTTGGTGACTATGTAATAAATCATTTACGCAAAGAACCATGTAGACCTAATGAACTAAAGGGTGATGCATAGATTCAAGACATATTGTAATTATGAGATGCTTAGGATGGAAAAACATATTTTTAATAAATTGTGCATTAAATTAGTTGAGCATGATTTAAATACTTTTACTCGAATGAGGGATGAAAAAATGATTGCAATGTTTTTAATTGTTGACCTTCAAGTAGAAAATAGAATGATTCAAGAAAGATATCAACACTCGAGTAAGACTATAAGTAGACATTTTCATCTGATATTTCATGTTTGCCTTAAGTTGTCTTTTAAATATATTAAGCCTGAAGATCCAATGATTCTTCATCGTCATTTCAAATTAAAAAATGATCAACGATATTGACCATTTTTTTAAAATATTAAAGTAATTAATAGTACATTTGTGTCATGTGAAGTTAGTATCAACGAGTAAACCAGATTTATTGGAAGAAAGGGATATCCGACACAAAATATAATAAATGTATATGATTGAAATATATGCTCTCTTAACCAAGCTCACTCAAATGTGAACCATAATTTTCCACATCCTCCTTCAAGTTTGTTCTTTTATATTACTACAATTTAATTGCTATATTAACAATTAAATTATTACTTTATTTTTTTTAGAGAAGTATTATTTGATTGGTTATGTCTATCCAACATCAATAGAGTACATTAATCCCTACATATATGAACTTTATCACATTCCTAATTTTAAGCGTTTTAACGGGTTTACAAATCACAATGAAATATTCAATTATGGATATTAATCTTTCCATCCTTAGGATTCTCTCATATTACTGTGAAAAGATTAAAATGTCCACAACATCCAAAGATGTATTTCTGGACGTATTTTTTCCACACACAACTGAGTCGAAAATGGTGAGAAACTATTATTCCATTAAAATTTGATCTAAAGATGCATCTTCGTGTGCACAAAAAATTGATTTGAAGATGTGTCTCTGTAACTCCCCTTAGTTCATTAGTCAGGGAGCTTTCCAAAGACGTTTTTCTGATATATGTTTTGTTAAATCAAAGTAGAAACAGGCAGAAACAATGACAGAATGGAAAACTAACATAAATTAACTCTAAAATAAACATTACATCGATAAACATTACATAAATTTAACATTACATGTTATTAAAAACGAGTGATTCTGAATGTTGCAACATCCTTATAATATCTTTGGTTGATCTATGAATCGTCACATCCACTTCAATCAGACCCTTTGTTGAGTAACAGTAAAAGGTACTTCACATAACCTTCAAATCACCATTTGTTTCCAATTCAAGCATAGTGAACTATATCTTTCCGTCAATGGCGAACGGTATTCGAGTTTGACAACTCTTCGATTTTCTAGATATCGCATGAGTATTCATTTTAGTTTTTAGATCGACGAGAAATATGTTGTCACATATTCAAAATTGAAGTGGGGTTTTATGTCACTAATATACACAAATGTAAATGTAAGATGGGAATATGTAGTCATTCTAGTTTGTATAAAGAAAATGAAATAAGAGACTCTATTTATAAAAATTGTATAGCAATAAGGATTTACAAACATTATCATATTTGCATAAAATACTTAGGAGATACATAAGAATATTTATAGAAGTCATCTTGATTTTTTATTTTAGCATGAAGAAGATCCTTGAGTTGTTATTCAAATCATTTGCATGAATAACAAACTCTATAAATAAGTTCAAGGGGTATCTCTAAGGGTGTGTTTGGTTCAGGATAGATGGAGGGGAGGGGAGGGGAAAGTTTTAATTAAATATGTTTGGTTCAAAATTTAGGAGGGGAGGGGAGGGGAGCAAAATCCCTCCAAAACACACTTTTTGGTTCCCTCCAAATTGGGGGGATTTGGAGGGGAGGGGAGGGAATATGACTTTTGATATTTAAAAATTATTATATTTACTAAAATATTCTCAGTTTAATTTTATTATTTCAAAACTATTTGTTATCTTTTGTGTTACTGTTTTTTCTCGATTGTTTTCATCAACTTATTATAATTGTTCTTCACCTTCAAATTATTTTATAATTTTTGTAATTAATATAAATTATAATCATTATCTTTTTCTATTAAAAAAATTATGTTTCGTTATATTCATTTTTTTCTTTTAATTTTGTTATGTACTCTATCATATTTTCTTTTATATTAAATTGTAAACTATATCATTTTATTTATTTTTGTTTATTCATTTTATTAAATATTTTGAACCATTAATATTTAGTAATAAGTTATTTTATATATTTATTTTATTATATGATTCATCACAATTTAAACGATGTTATTGGCATATAGTTTAATTTATGTTGGAAAGTTACAGGTCGAATCGATTGTACTCAATTTTTTTTAACTTTATGTGACAAATAAATATTTTTTTAATCACTCAATATTATAAATTTTATTACCAACAAAAATACGCACGAATTTTTCACATTTTAATATCATATGACTTATATAAGATCATAAGGATAAAAATGTAAATTATTAATAAAACTCTTCCCCTCCCCTTCTGAACCAAACACATTTTTAATTAAAATCCCTCCCCTCCCCTCCCCTCCTCTCTTTTGAACCAAACACGTATTTGATTAAAAAATTCATTCACCTCCCCTCCCCTCCTCTCTTTTGAACCAAACACGTATTTGATTAAAAAATTCATTCCCCTCCTCTCTTTTGAACCAAACACGTATTTGATTAAAAAATTCATTCCCCTCCCCTCCCCTCCCCTTCATTAAAATCCCTCCCCTCTCCTCCACTCATTTGAACCAAACAGACCCTAAGATACACTCAATCAAATATATGACGTGATTTTGAATATGTTTGAGGATACGTCTCCAAGCGTTTGGATTGGAGTATTTTCAAATAATCAAGGGTGTGAAAAACATAACGCCAAGGATTGAAAGAGCAGTTTCCTCAATTATTACTGCTAAATTTAACTTTTATGAAGATGAGAGCACAATCATCCGCATATTTTTTATAGATTATTTCCAAGACTCAATCCGCATAAATAAAAAATTGAAGTATTTGTCTTATATCTTATATGTATTTGTTTTAATCCCTTTTTGATAATTATACATTCATATTCAAAATTATTCAAACATGAATTGGCAACAATCAATTCTATATTATTGTATTCAAACATAAATAAAATTATTTTCAAGTCAGCAACAATCAATTCTATATTATTGTATTCAAACATAAATAAAATTATTTTCAAGTCAATTTTGTCTAAATCAATTCTATCCACGGCAGAACCGAACATACACTAAATCAAGGAACGAAAAGAATATTAATAGGAATAAAAAAGAATACCAAAATTTTTATCTTATATTGACAGGCTTCAAACAACAGATGTAATAAGAGAATTCCTAAAATTTACAGCTGTGGGACAAAAGAATAAAGAAAGACCTGAGACAATTTGCTAATTGGTCAGGTTGCAGAGGAACTCATCAAAAATAGAGCCAAGAGATTATCCCAAGCTCTTCCACAAAAGCTATATACACAACACTGCAGTATTCACCACCATTCCCTGACTGCATTATTTGGGAAACTCAAAATAAAAATGATAGAAAGAGCTCAAATTAAGATCATCAGAAACAATTAATTACCTTTTGTAGACCGAAATCATTCACTGGCCAGAAATTTAGCCCTTATAGGACGACGAGTTGAAAGTTGTTCATTATTATAGGTATGCTACCTAAACACAAGGCTTCCATTCTGCTGCAATCTCAAATTTTCTATGAGTGATTGATAGAAAGATTTTAGTGCCTTGATATCGCTACCCTGTAAAAAGAAATAAGAGGAATATTAGGCACACTACAACAAAGTTTCAATAGCTAGCACTAAGATACCCCTAGCAAAAATCCTCTTCTAATTCAACAATTAACAACATATAAACCAAAACTTCTTTTGTCATACTTCAAACAAAATATCTTGACAGGCTCCAATACTTTTGAGATAGAAGGAATACAATCCAAGGATGACATTGTAATTTCTCAAAGGAAGCAAGGAAACAAGTTTGATGAATGTTTAACTAGTTAGCATAACACAAGTTTTAAACTTGAATCAGTATTGGTAGGATAAGATTTTATTGTTAGAATATATTATATCTATAGATAGTTATTATCATTTTAATTTGAATGATAGTATTATTAGAGGATAGAATTAGGTTAGCTATTATCCTAATTTAACTAGGACTCTTCTTCTGTTGTCACCTCAAAAATTATTCTTAAAAAACTGAGTTTAAGAAGAGACTCTATCAAGGATGTGTCTGCTTCTACCTTCACCATAGGTCAAAAGAAAGGTTCTACGGCGTTTAGATCTGAGGCAACGATCTCGTGACACGGACCATAATTAACAACTTAGTATCACGAATCGGCCTGGGGTGACTCAGATTTGGCAGCAAAATTGAAGGATTTCATTGAAAAGATGACAGTCAGGCAGACTGCTCTAGAAAGCAGATGGCTGGTCTCTCCATCACAGTTCAAGAAGTGACTAAAGGTTCAATGAGACAAATCAGGAGAGATGGGAGTGGTAGTAGTAGTAGTGGAAACAATACAAGACATGGAGCCATAAACAGCTCACGGATGGGGATACATGGTTCCTCACTATTCCAAAGTGGAATTTCCCACTATTAGAATAGAAATTTACTCTTTCCATTTTACGTTGTAACTGAATTGCATTGGTTGAAAAGTTAGTTACATGAGATGACATGAGATGGCACCTGGTTGTACTTATAGTTGCAATGAATATGGCTTGAGCATTTGTATGCAAACTGAAAGAGGGGCTCACGATGAATGCAAACGGTAGGGCTTGTGAGTGCATTCTTCAACTTAGCAATATTTTGAATGATGTTAAAACTAAGAGTAAGACTTAGACTTAGCGTTTTTGTATATTGAACTGTATCAACCTAAATTTAGATGTGCATTGATCATTATTAGCCTCAGGATGCATACAAGTATTCTTGAAATGGTTTAAATGATTTTAGAGCATGTTATTCACATAAAAAAAACCAAGTTTGTGTCAACAAAACTGCACAGGCCGACCTGTAGAAGATTTTGCTTAAGTACAGGCCGGCAAAAATGACTACAGGCCGGCACAAACGCTCCAAAGAATGAAGTTGTGGATTCTGTCCATAGGTCATCTTTTTCAGGCCGCGACCTATTGCCTTCATAGGTCAACTTATAGGCTTCCAAAACTCAAAATTTCACTTTGCATCGTATTTTTCTTGCATCCTTTTTGCCTAATTTCACATACATGTATATATACTCCTACATCCACCATTTATTTAGCAAGGTACTAGTGAATTACCTATACAAAACCAGATTACAAAGCATTTCCATCATCTTCAACCTCTATTCTATGCATACACACAATTGAACTACACAATCATTTTTCAATTGGGTGATCATCTAGATTAGGGTTGGTAACGTCCAATTAGGTTTGGTGTAACCAAGAATAAAGATTGGGATCTTTGTGTGTTTCAAATAAGAAAATCAAGGTGGGGTTTTCCTTCAAGATCGGTGTAATTTGAAGGTTTTGGACAATATCACGTCAACACGGATTCAACCGACTGAAGGCCTTGGGACAATGTGGTTTCCTTGCAAGAGAGTAGCGCGAGACGGTGAATCGTGTTCGGAAATCTTGGGTTCAACAAGTGTGTGCTCGAGATAATCGGAGGATTGTAGCCGCATTGTTGGTGACTTGATCAAGCTTTGATCAAGGGTTTGGAGGTGGTTGAATCAACAACAATAGAATTTATGGGGTTAGAATTCTTCACCTCTTGTATAAACATTTTTGCAAAGATAAGGTTAATAGCAAGTATCTCAATTCCATTTTGGATTGAAGACAGACGTATCCATAGCGAGGCCAATTGGAGAATTGCCTAAACAAATATGTGTCTTTTTATCACTTTATTTTTACCCTAGGACACGAGACTTCTACACCACTTCGCTTGCTCGATTTGATGTGATTTTAGCAGTCAAGGGGTAATGCACATTAGGTCCCATCTTGTGGGATTTTAGCTCTCCTTGAAGATGGAGTTTGCAATGAATGAGAGGATTTTAGCTCCTTAAAGATGGAGTTTGCAATGAATGAGAAGGTAGAATGGAAGGTTAAGCCTAGGTTAAGCCTCTTGAGGTAGAACACTGACTGCATCACGCAGGGACAGAATTGCCCAGCACTAATTTTGGAGAAGTTATTGGCCAACTATGCAGACTTGTTCATGGACCCTTCTTGTTTACAGCCTAGCCGCGACTATGATCACCGCATTCCCCTCAGTCCAGTAATCCACATTTTCAAAAATATGAGATTGAAAGACAGTGCACTCAAATGTTGCGACAAGGAATTAAGTCCCCGTTCTCTTCACCTACCCACCCTATTAGTCAGGAAGCATGATCGTTTGTGGCACTTTTGTGAGGAATATTGATAGGAACCCAAATTTAGAAAGAAAAAGAAGAAATTGAATTAATGATGGAAAATAGAAATATTAAAGAACCCTTGCAATCTCAGCAAATGCCTCTCATAAAAGAGATAATAATCTCTCTGCCCAAGCCATAAATTTTCTAACTGAAAAGGTACCTAATGAATTCCCCCTTGCTACTAGTCCTTATATACTGTTCCCCTCTAACAAATTGGCCACATAAGTAGTTTTAACCACTTCTCTATTCAGCCCATTTGTTGGGCTAAGGCCCAAACCAGGTATCTAACAATTATCGTTAACTCAATGCCAAAACAGTTTAAGATAAGTTTCCCATTCCATTGGTGGACAACTTGTTACATGAGCTTAATGGGGTGAAACATTTCACATAGCTACAGTTTTACATACTGAACCTGTCACTCATTTGTGATAATCAAGTTGCAGATAAATTGTCACTTTTTTATAGAGAATATTTCTTCTAGAGACAATTTACTATTAGCTTAGTTACAACTCATTATATGAATGGTATATTGCTCCCGCACAGATTCTGTTATTTTCTTGTTTTCTCTCTGATAGGCTCGATTCAGTAATTAAGAGTATAGATACAGAGAAAATAGGGAAACGAATTAGACGAAAAGCAGGAATTGAAACAGTGATACAAGCAAGAGTTCAGATGGGATCTAGCTGGTGAAATAGGAAAGTAAAATGCTGGAAATAAAGCTACGCTTTTCAAGGGGCTTAATCTCTCCTATGGTGATGATCACACAATTCATGCCTAATTCTAACTGAACATTCACCCTGCATATAATACCCATATTTGCTTTCTCTCCCCTCTGCCACGTGTAACTAGTCATGTGTTTTCACCCAAATTAGTTACAAGGGAATTATTCCCTGCAGCATAGCGCCCCCTTTTTCTTTTGTACACCTCAAAACTATCACTCTTTCTTAAATCTGAGTTTGTAGAGAGTTTACTGTTAGGAATAGGATTATGTTATATTCAGATTACAGATACCTCTCTGTAATCAACAAAAGCTCAACATACATTGACATTTAGATTCAAATTTTACGTCCTACTATCACATTTCAGTGTCTCAATTCTTGCTATGGACAAAAGGCATCTATAAAATTTGCTTCCGCAAGACCGGAAAAGAATACTATAATTTCTCGGATTGGAAGAAATTCACCTGCAACTTTTGACAATACTGTTCAGCTAGATCTGGCGGGCAACGGGCAACAGAAAATGCTTTTGGTATAAAATGAACGAGAAAATCATCCCCAAATTTGTCGTACATGACCTTCTGTGCGACCACAATTTCTCCAAACAAAACAAGCTGCATGGAAACATAGACAATAAAAAGGAAACAAAATTAGTACTAAAAATTGGCATGAAATGTCAACAAATCACTGAAATATGGATTTCCATTTTCTTATTTAATTAACTTCGGTAAAATAAGATAGCATCCTCGTTCCGCATTTATTAAGCATACTGATACTCGCATGGATAGCATCCTTAATACCTATTTCTATATTCAATAGACAACTATCTATTCGTACCGAGACACATCACCCACACCTTAGTTAAATTGCATGTGGTCTCTCTTAATGCATTTTTTAACAAATTAAACATTACTATTATAATATTAATATTAACTCTGAAAAATTAATAAATCAATTAAAAAGAACATTGACTAAAACTACAATTGCAACATATAACACTGCTTTAAAATATCCAAAGACCATCACAATCTTAATCATAAATCCTTACAAACAAACATTTAATTACATTAGAATGCAACAAATTATCAAAACTTCAGAGAAGAGTATAGGTAGAATTTATGTTTTAATACACATTATTAGAGATGCTTATAGTGCACAATATCTAGCATGGGTACAAACCTTAGAGAACACCCTGCCTTGAGCAGTACAACACACTTACCATAGGAATGCATCAAAAGAAATAACTCATGAAACTAACTAACTGAACCGGATTCAATTAGTTAGACAGGTGCCAAGTTAGTTGCATAGTAACTAGCTTAACACTCTTATATAAGGAGTAGAAGAACCCTCGATGTATTCATTAAGTTTTGCAAAATAAATAACAGTATACATTTCTCTGAATATTTTATAACAAACAAATTAAGAATTTATTTCTAAAATGGTATCAAAAAGCCCTCTTTGATCTATGGAATATGGATCTTTCTCTTCAAGCATCCAATGCAAATGCATCCCCATCACCTTCTCCCTTGCCACATTTGGGATCTTTATCAAAGCAGAACCATTTCTAAGTTGAAGCAGAATTATCTGATATGGTGACAACAAGTTGAACCCTCAACCATCTGTCCTATGCCCTGACCATACTCTACTTAGCAATACTACATTTCAAGAGCACAACCCTCAACCAAATTATTTGGTTTATATTGGGGACCTAACTCACCCTTACAAAATCAGCTTGTAATGTGAGGGGTGTCACTCTTCATAAACTCTAATCAAAGCTTATTCATTCAATGTGGGACTTGGACTTTCTCAATGCACCCCCTCACTCCCAACACTATTAGGCTAGGTGCATGGATATACATGGTGGGTCGCCCTAAATGATAGGCTTAGGCTCTGATGCCATATTAGATTTTATATTGGACTTAGACTAGTAAGGAGGGGTGTCACTCTTCATAAATTCTAATGAAACCTTATCTTTATTCAATGTGGAGCTTACTACTCAGTTCCCCATGCCAAACTTTTCCCCTACACCAATATTCCCTGCCAAGCCCCAGTTTCCTGCATTGTCCCCTCCAGCGCCAGTGCCGATAGCTCCTTAAGCACTCAAGGCCAATACTACACATGCATCCTCTCTCAATTGGTACCCAGACCTAGGTGCTTTTCATCATGTTATATCTAATGCACAATATTCAGCAACTCTCTTTTTGAAGATTCTGACCTAATTTTCATTGGTAATGAACAAGGTTTGTATGTTTCCTCATACAGTTCATCTTCATTCTCCTCACATATTAATCCTAAAGGCTAAAGTCAAACTAACTCTCAATAGTCAGCTACCTGTTCCCCTAATTACAAAAAAAAAAAAAGTGCTCAGTGAGTCAATTTGGTCGTGATAATTTAATTTACTTTGAAATCCATTCTAATATTTGTTTCATCAATTCTCAGGATTCCAATGAGATGCTTGACCAAGATGGACTCTACCAGTTTTCAAGCATGTTGCCGCACTCTGTGCAAAGCTCACCTAAGTCTTCATTACCCAGTCTTAATTCTTGTAATTCCATTCATGTTGTTAATAATGTTGGTATAAGCTCTAGTGTTTTTGAGTCTTGACATTCTAAACTAGAACATGCTAGTCCTGAAACTCAAAAACTTGTTCTCAATTTGTGTAAAACTCCATTTCCTGTTCTACAGGAATGTAGAATCAAATTTTGAAATTCTGCTCCAGAGATGTTTCTTGAACTCCCATCAAATAATGTTCATTTTTACTAGGCAAATACATTCTCAACAGGCCAAAGAACAAGAAAACAATTCTAAATTCTGCGCTGTATGAGAGGACATGTCATTCACATGGTGATTTTGGATGGCAGAATCATAACACTTGAGAAAAATGGCTAAAAGAGTGAATAACACAAGAATAATGGAATCTTACAGTATTTGCATCACGGAAATCAAAAGATCTGTCCAGCACACTGTACAAACAGCAGTTTGTAGCAAACATTTCGATCACAAAACTCCGGAAACCAGGAACCTGAACCATTAATCATTTAGTTAAAAATAATAAAATGTCAGAATAAGTAGAAATGAGTAAAAAGTACCTTTTCTTCATATGGCTGGGCACACCAATCTTTAGTTAATCTAATAAAAATCTGCACACATGCCTAAATTGTAAAAGGAAAAAAAAAAGTAAGATTCAGATTGTAAATTTTGTCAAAAGTATTAACAAATCTAGTAAAAATGACGAGCTCTAGGCTCTAGTTAAATAAATAGAAAGCAGAACATATACCTTTCTTATAAGAACATCCTTATGATTACACGAGGAGTAAAAAAGCAATTGCATCACTGGATCCAAGTATGCTTTACACTTTGGGGAAATAAATACAGTTGACAGATCATGTGTAGTAATCACATGAAGAAATGTATACAATGTTCGTTGAAGTTCTTGCAATTCACGAATTTCCTAGAAAGAAAAGGAAAAAAATCTCACCATGTGTATAAATTTGTAAGAGCTTAGAAACATAAGATGAATGGAAATGTCAAAGACACATTTTCATGATGGATTTCCGATTCAAAATAAATATAGCTACAATTGCACCAAAAATATACAGCTGCAAACTAAGAAAAATATCCTGTTTAAATTCCACAATAGAGAATCACTGTTTCCCTGATATAAGATCCATTGAATTTCCATTGCATGGTTTTAACTTACAGAAAATTTAAAAAGTTTATGGAGAACTGGATATTTGATAATAGTTACAGCGAAGAACGTGACTATTATCACACATCACAAAGTACAAACTGCCCCCACCAAACAGCAATCAAATGTCATGATAATTTAGTTCTAAAAAAATAAAAGGGAAGGTAGAATATACCACAGCTATTTATTAAGAAACTGCATTAAAATCTTCATACCTCAGTGACTGTATCCAGACCTGAAGGCAATCCCTCTCTTGGAATAACACTAAATATTCTATCAGCGACAGATGGAAATATTTCCTCCAAAATGTCACGCACCAAAACATTGAACTTGCAGATGAGTTGATTGAGCAACACAAGAAAACCAGACATTTGCTTTGGCTGCAACAAAATTAACCAAGACATTACACAAGTTTCTCTTCTTTGTGTAGGAAACAGGGGGAAAGCAAAAACAACCTCATAAAGTCAAATAGGAAACAATCAAATTCTGGTGCAAAACATGTATGCCACTACGAATCAAGACCATTGTAAAACATATAAGAAATTAGGGATACTGCGTACCTCAGTTTCTGCAAGTAACTTCTCAAGTGCCTTTGGAAGGTAAGGAATGACAGATGCTCCTAGTGTATCCACCATGCGGTGTATAAATGATGTGACCTACATACAATGCATGGATATTAGATGACATGAACATGTCCCTCTCACACACACACGCACATATCCAGTCATTAAATATAATCATACCTTGTTTTGCAGAAGCTCTACTCGTGGAAATATAACAAGAACATGGAGAAGTACATCTAATGTCTGCAGAGAAGAATGAATGGCAAGATTTGGATTAATAAAAGATTAAGAAATAATAACCGGTGTTTCATGAAAGGAAGAATGATTTGTAGAACATTATAGCGTAGTTTGATCCATTTAGTCAAACCCCATTTAGTGGGATAAGGCTTGGTTGTTGTTGTTTCATGAAAAGAGAAAGACTTAACACACAAAAACTGTCTTTCACTGGCAAATGTTACAATGATGGATTCTAGAATTATAAAATAAAATCTCAGAAATTTCCATAACGAAAATAATACTCAAAACATCTTATCACAATAACAGAGTATGTATCTAATAAACCATTGTTGTCAATTGCAGAAAATAACGTTTGTTCAAACTCCACCTATGCAACAATGCTATTGTGCCACTGTTAGCCGTTTTGAATTAAATAGCATATTGGGGAACAATGGCAGATTGTGCAAATTCCGCCACACAATAGCGTTATAGCGCCAATATTTAATAAACATTATGATAAACCAAATACACCACCAGGACACAAAAGCAATACAATTTGAAGAGAAAAAAAATACTAACCTGCTTAAACATGTTTCCAATTGCGGGGCGACTAGCAGTTACAAGACGCTCGCTGAAGCCCTAGATTTTATAATTTATTAATAAGAATGGAAGGAAAAAACAAAATCATGATGGATCTTCCCAGAATTTTATGAGACATGGTGAAAGGCTGAAAAGTCAAATTACAGAAGCACCTTGCTGAGAGAATTAATTGCCATGATAATTTGCTGGATTACAGCAATTCTGGCATTAGTCTCCTCATAACTTAACAATTCAGCATTTCTCAACAGTGCCTCAACCTGCGTTAAGCAATCATACTAAATTATTTGCATCAAATACGTAAAAATCCCTGAACATAATTGTCGGGAAAAAAGGAAAGGGGACGAAGTATTTCTCAGAATTCAAGTATCTTGAAATTTTGTACATATATTTTTAGTAAGAAAATATCTTGCAGTTTTCAGTAAGAAATCACCTGCTGACATAGAGGACTGAGCAAAGAAGATAGATAATCAGATTGCTTTTCAGGTGGGACATCTTCCATTCCAATCAATAACCCAATTGCCTGTCAAGTGTGTCAATCAGCACTTAAGAATATACATAGCAACCTTAAATTTCATAGAAACATCCTAAATCCTGAAACTTTGAAATATGTGTATACCTCAAAAATGTGGCTACCATCTTCTGACCCTGATAGCTCTTCTGTTGTATAATTCGTAGTAGTGAACCGCGCAACTGTATCAGGTAGGCTCTGAATTTGACAGACACGCAAATTGAGGATAAAAGAGATAGTGGAATAACCAATCACATGATTCATCCAAACATAAAAGGGCCAACAAAAACACACAAGTCACAAGTAGTTTCTGCAAAACTTTGCTTAAGAAATTTATTCTTTTAAGTACATTTAAAATACAGAAAAAGACATGCAAGAGTGGTGGACTAGATAATAGCTACCTGCAAAATCACCGCAATGAAAGGCACCAACTTCACCTTCAGCAATTTCACAACCCTCATGAACAAATAACTGGCCCTGCGGCTTACACTAATATTTGGATGATGTATGCCCCTTTCATCAAGGAAGGGAGACAAAACAATAGGAATGCATTGAGTATTGTCCTGAATAAACTTAACATATCTTGTCACTGTCTCCAAGTAAACGAGAGCAACTAGTCTATTGGAATGACAAGGAAACTTTGTTGATAGAAGCATAAGCAACAGCCCACTCAATAACCCACTCCCAGTTCTTATGGATTCCTCGCTCAAAGATTCTCCAAGTGCATATAAAAGTGAAAGTGCACCTTCCACCTCTTCCACATTGCTATCTGATGATCTTGAAATAGCACTTGCTAACGAATTTCTGATAAACAACTGAGTTACATTAGGGGCAACTCGACCCACAGTGCGAAGTAGAACAAATAAATCCTTTCTGAACTCTGACATCCTATCTTCCTCCTCTCGTCCAATTTTGTCCATCACATCGAGATTGTTACGGTATTCAGGGTCATAACGGATAAGACCAAGGATTACTTCCAATATCTGCCCCATATGAAGTATATGCTTCTCGCTCAAAGGAGTAAGGCTCTTCAATGTAGAAACATAACTTGATAGAAACTGAACGATATTAAATGAAGCATCAACCTCAAAATTCTTCATTATATAGAAAACAGATGGTAGAACTTCGTTCAAAAGCTCCATGGAAACTCCTTTAGCTTCCTCAGAACTTATACGTTTAAAGCAATCCAAGGCCTCCACGGCATACCCAGAAAGCAATGCAGCTATGTCAGGAACCAGGTCAGCATTGCCATCCTCGGTCACCAACCTAAATACACGACTAATTTGAAGGCTTTGCAACAACGACAGCTTTGATTGGGGCTCCATTCGCTTGGAAACTACTGCTAACAAACATCGGATTGCAGAACCTTGGAGCTGATCGGATGGGGCACCAACCAAAATCAAATCAAACAACAAAGGGACAAAAACATCATTGTAGATCAAGCCGATGTCAATCCAAGAAATATACCTTCTCATGGAATCTAAAACAATGGCGCATAGGTCTTGATCAGAATTACGGTACATAGAAATAATGTCATACCAAGCTCTGACAACATCGGACACACACTGCTGTCTGATAGCATCTTTAACCCTACATGCAACAGTCAACTCCTCAGGGGTTCTAGGATAGTCGAGACTAATTAACTCATCATCAAGAGCATTCAAAACTCTACAGAACATGTCAATGACCAAGTTCCCTTTGCGCAGATGGGGTAAAAAATCAACAAAAACAGAAGACCAAATCAAGGGGTACTCGAAGTAGATTAAAGCAATCAAAACCTGAGCAAGCTTGTTTTTTATAAATGCAGGGCCATCTAAAACCCTAGTAGGATTCTTGTCTTCGAGACACACAATTGAAAAGACAGTAGCCCTGATGACGTTCTTCTCATCGGGGGTTATAGTTGAGTATCGTGTCTGAATCACTTCATGCAAAGTCTGTAGGCACCAGAATTGGACTTGAACAAGATTTGAACAGCATAATTTTTCAATGCATAATCTACAAACCGACGGTTTCTCTTTAATATGGCTGCAATAAGTTTTAGCTTTATTCTTCAATTCATGATCTATGGCTCCGGATTCATCAAACAGGATAAGAATTCCTTTCTCCAAGTCGTCCATACTATTCGTTGAATGCAAGAGTGTTTGACGGTAGCCTTCACCTTTCTTAGAAGATCAATACAACGGAACTAGAAGAATATGATAAATAGATTGAAAACTAGGGTTTATGTTTATGTTGCTTTGCTTTCTTTGTTTTTCTATTTATCACCGCCCTAAATATTTTCTTTCCCCTTAACTATATTTTTTTTTTAAATTAATAAATTTAATAATTAAAATTTTGAATTGACTTAAATTAAATTCCATAAAATCATCACTGATAAACTAAATGGGTAAACTAAGATCCTTTTTGTTGGCCCAAAGTGATTTGTAGGATTTAAAAAATTTATAGTTGATTTGAATAGTTTTTACTTTAATGGTGGTTGTCTTATAAAAAAACAAAATTTGACCCCATATTTTATATTTTTTATTCAAGTTATCATCAATTTAATTATTTTAATTAAAATACATATATTTTTTAAATAAAATTTACCTTAAAAACATAAAAATAATATTAAATATATTTTATTATAAAATTAAAAATGATACAAAATTCACAATAATAATACATAAAAAAAATTACATTTTCATAGGAATATAATTATAATAAGGATTCGATTGGTTGGGATCCATTTGATAAATAAATAAGATTGGAAATTGAAAGAAAAAAATTTAGAAGTAAAACTGTGTGTAAAAAAAATTAAAATTTCTATAGAATTTATAGAAGGTAAAAAATGATAATATGACTGTTACTATTTTCAAATAAAGTAAGGTTGTTGGAATATTTGGAATATTTTATTAATATTAAATAATATTATAATAGGTTTCACATGAATAGTTAACGTTAACTATATAGATAATGGGAACTAAATTTTAGTTCATTTGGATGTTATGTCAGCTCTCCTATAATGCAAATTCTTTATTACTAACGTAAGCTATAAAAAAATTTGGTTTAACAACTCTGCGTTAAAGTTGCTCTAAAAGACTAATTTGTATTTGGTTTGGTCAAAATCATGATTTTAGTGAGGTTAAATAACTATATATGTTATCAATTAGTGAAATTGCAAAATTGTAGGTTGAATAATTGAGGGTATGTTTCCATCTGTTTTTACCGCGAGGAGCTCTTCAGTGGAGCCTTCAACGCCAGTATCCCCTTGTCCGTGAGGGTCTAGATGGCAAATTTTGACGTCCGATGAATCATCGTCGATCAAGGCAGCTCAGTCGATATTATGTATTTTCAATTGTTCTCAACCCTCCAACTGGACGAATCACATCTTACTCCCTACATGGGCTCCGATCTGCAGGGTTTCAATGGGTCGGCGGCGAAGCCCTGGGGTTATGTAGGGCTGATTGTAACCTTCGGGTCCACTGAAATGGCCAGTTCAATCAAGGTCCAGTTCCTGGTCATCGATTGTCCGTCACTATACCAATGCATCTTCGGGCGGGCAACTCTGGCTGAATTGGTGGATGTGCCTTCAATAGTGCACCTGATGATGAAATATTATACTTCGACAAGTCTCGTGGAAACTCTACACAGAGACATTGAAGCTGCGAGGAGATGTTTCGAGGCAGTCTCCAAGAGACTGAACACCATGACCGTCAGGCCAAAGACTCCCAGCAAGTCTCCTCTGTCCAGCAGCACCGAAGAAACAAAGTCGCTGCCCCGCATTGACTCCATCGACCTTGACAGTCGTTTCTATAAAGACGACCAGAAGATCTAGAAGGCGAAGGGGAAAAAGATCCATTCATCTTCGAGCAGTCTCTCCACGTCCACCAGTAACAACGAAGCTTTCCGTCTGATGCGCCTAATTTCGGATGGAGAGTTCGAACTTGTCTTGCTCAACAACGACCCCTGGCGGGGAGTGAAGATTGGGACTGGACTCCCCGAGCTTGCGAGGAAACAACTGAGAGCCTGCCTCCGAGAGAATGCAAACTTGTTCGCATAGAGCGCCGCGGAGATGCCCGGGTTAGACCCTGATGTGGCCTGTCACCACCTCATTATTGATCCTGTTGTTAGGGTTGTATCTCAATGTAGACGAAGGCAGTCTCTGGAGAAGACGGAGGCTTCCGAACAGGCTGTAAAAGACTTTCTAGAGGTGAGCTTCATCTCGGAAGCCAAGTATGCCACTTGGTTGTCCAATGTTGTCCTCGTGAAAAAGAATAATGAAAAATGGCGAATGTACATTAACTATACCGATTTTAATAGGGCTTTCTCTAAAGATGCATATCCCCTCCCCAACATAGATAAACTAGTTGATAATTTGGCCGATTTTAAATTATTATCTTTCATGGACGCATATTCGGGCTATAACCAAATATCCATGGCAAAAAGCGACAAAAGGTACACGACTTTCATGACCTAACGGACAATTATTACTACAATGTAATGCCCTTCGACTTGAAAAATGTTGGCGCTACCTACCAAAGGATGATGAACAAAGTCTTCCGAGGAGAAATTGGGGACATGCTCGAAGTCTATATGTATGACATGGTCATAAAGTCCCACGAGGAATCCGATTACACGGCCCACTTGAGGAAGGTCTTCGGGCAGGCTAGGAAGTACAAGATGCACTTTAATCCGGAGAAGTGCACGTTCGGGGTACGAGCGGGCAAGTTCCTCGGTTTCTATCTAACCGAACAAGGATTGAAGCTAACACCGACAAGTGCAAAGCCTTCTCCGAGTTTCCCACACCGAACTCAAAAAAGTCCATTCAACCCCTAAACGGGATGCTCGCATCGGTATCCCGTTTTGTGGCTAAGTCTGCCTAACACGCCCTCTCCTTTATCAAACTCCCCCGTAAGGAGACCGCGTTTGAATGGACGGAGGAATGCGATAAAGCCCTCCTCTACCTGAAACAAGCTCTATCGAAGCTATCACTCCTCTCCTGGCCAAATAACATGGAAACCCTTTATCTCTACCTCACTATCGCAATCAAGGTTGTTAGTGTCACCCTCATTCGTGAAACACCAGATGGGCAGAAGCCCATCTACTTCACGAGCAAAGAACTTCAAGGGCTATAGTTGAGGTACCAACAGATAGAGAAGGTGGCCTTAGCCCTTATCAATGTTGTGAGAAGGCTAAGGCACTACTTGCTGGCCCACACAATTGTGGTACACACGGACCAACCTGTAAAGCAACTGTTAGGTCGTCCAGGTATGGTCGGCAGGATGCTCAAATGGTCACTAGAGCTGTCCAAATTCGACATCCAGTATGAGAGCAAAAAGGCCCTCAAGGCGCAAGCACTGACTGATTTCGTCGTAGAAATGACCTTGCCCGAATACCCTACCAGGGGTGCCAATAAATGGATTATCTTCGTCGATGGAGCATTTAACTCAGCAGGGAGCGGGGCAGGTGTCATCCTAGAAAACGAGGAAGAAATCTTCATCAAAGTTTTGCTCATATTATCATTCCCTACTTCTAACGACCAGGCCGAGTACGAAGCTTTCCTCGCAAGCTTGCGCCTCGCCGAAGACCTGGGAGCGGAAGAAGTCGTCATCTACATTGATTCTCATCTCATAGCCCTCCAAGTTCGGGGAGACTACCAGGTCAAAAACGACAATCTATCTGAGTACTTGACCCTGGTTAAAAATAACATGGTGAAGTTTACCTCCGTATAAGTGAAACACGTTCCACACAAACAAAACGTCCAGGAAGACATCCTGTCAAAACTAGCAAGTACGAAAAAGAAAGGAGGGAACAAATCTGTCATCCAGGAAATACTTCCACAACCTAGCATTGAGAGGGCATCCACGACCCTCGATGTGCACATCATCGGCGACAGCCATTGCTGGATGACCCCCGTATACAATTACCTCACGAAGGACGAACTTCCGTCCGACCCCAAAGAGGATGGCATAGTGAGGCGCAGGGTCTGCTCCTACGTCCTGGTCTAAAACAAGCTTTACAGGCAGGGATTTTCCATCCATCTCCTTAAATGCGTTGAGGAAGAAATGGTCACCCACGTCTTACACGAGATCCACGAGGGAATCAATGTCCAGCACCTAGGGGGAGATCCCTCGCCAAGAAAGCTCTACGAGAAGGATATTACTGGTCGACCATGCAGCACCACACAAAGGAACACATGAAGAAATGCGACAAGTGCCAACGACACGAAGGCATGTTGTCATACCCTAAATTTGTCCTACCCTTTTTTTAAAATACTTTCGCATTTTTTGCTCTTATGTCCTTTTTGCATTGTTTGTTTAATTTCATATCGTTTAGACATGTGTCCACCCCCGATTGGGCGTTTTTCAAATCTCGATTATTTTGCCCAATGGAAGCGTGACACACGGCCTAAGGGCATTTTTGTAATTTTTATTTCCATTTTTATTTTGCTCTTTTTCTCCTTTTCAAAACATTATTCTCTTTGTACACTTTTTTTTTTTATTTTACATTTACAATTTTATTTAGTTAATTAATTAGTTTTTTTTTATTATCATATTTTTAGAATTAGAATAGTTATTTATTTTCCATTTAAATAGTCTTTAATTTTAATAGTTTTTTTTTTAATTTTTTTTTTATATAATCGTTTAGAATAGGATTTAAATTTTAAATAGATTTTTAATTAGTTTTTTTTTTGTTAGAATTTTGATAGTTTAATATAGATTTTAATTATTTTTTAGAATATTTTATTTAGAAATAATTTTTTTTCTTATTTAAAATAGAAATAGATTATTTTTTATAGCATAGAATTAATTTGTTTTTAGAATCATTTTAGTATTAGAATTAATTAGATTTAATTTTGTTTTAGAGATATTTTAGGATTTTAGAATTAAGTTAGTAATGTTAGAGATATTTTAGGATTTTAGAATTAAGTTAGTAATGTTAGAGATATTTTAGGATTTTAGAATTAAGTTAGTAATGTTAGAGACATTTTAGGATTTTAATAGTTTTTAGATTTTGATTTATTTGAGTTTAGAGATAGTTTAGAGATATTTTTAGATTATAATAGTTTTAACCGTTTTTAATTTTATTAGAAATAGTTTAGAGTTTTATTTGAGTTTATTTACATTTTTTTTATAAC